GAGAGTGGACAGAAAGTTGGTTGGAGCTAACTGACTAGTCAGGAAGAGCTGAACTCAGTGCTTTGGTGCTGTCCCACCATCCCTGCCCTGCTCAGGGACCTGGGGGCACCTGTCTCGGAGCCTAAGTCCTCACTCTGCTCCACAGCTGGGCATGCTCACTGTCACACCTCTCTCTTGCATTTCCTGGTAGGATCTGGGAGTCTCCTCTCCTTCTAGCTGCCAAAGAAAATGACGTCCAGGCTTTGAGCAAGCTGCTCAAGTATGAGGCCTGTGATGTGCACCAGAGAGGTAAGGAACAGAGCCTCAGGCCCATCTCCGGGTCAGCCTCAGCCGGGTCCTCCCATGGGTCAGCACTGCCCCCTTCCCTTGGCCCAGAGTAAGCATAGGACTTCTCTCTGTGATACCAGGAGCCATGGGGGAGACAGCGCTGCACATAGCGGCCCTTTATGACAACTTGGAGGCGGCCATGGTGCTGATGGAGGCAGCCCCAGAGCTGGTCTTTGAACCCATGACATCCGAGCTGTATGAAGGTGAGGGTCCAGAATCCTAGAACGGAGAGAAGACTAGTTTGCTGTGTGTTATCAGCAGTCTCAAGAGCGGATAATTTGGAAAAACCAGAGAGGACATCGGAGAATCCCTACCCTTTCATGCCCTTCTCCAGCAGTCTCCCTAGCTCCTTGTCAATCCTGAGTGCACATCACTAGAGCACCTGTTGTCTGAACTGCAGGAGGACTAGAGGGATGGGAGCAGGGAGTCGGATCCCCAGGAACCCTGAATACTCATAGGCTCCTGTCCTCCACTGCAAGACACCCAAGGGAAGAAGAGCACGGGTATAAATGGGAGGGATCCCTGCAGGGTCCTGGGGACAAACCAAGGACTGACAGCTCTCTCTGTCCAGGTCAGACTGCCCTGCACATCGCTGTCATGAACCAGAACATGAACCTGGTGCATGCCCTGCTCATCCACGGGGCCAGTGTCTCTGCCAGGGCTACAGGCGTCGCCTTCCAACGCAGTTCCAACAGCCTGATCTACTATGGTAGGCATTGGGCCAGGCTGGGAGAAAAGGAAAGAGAAGAGCAGGTGGGGCAAAGGGTGGGGTAGGTTGGGCTGTCTGTCAGAATGGAGCAGCCCTTGCAGGACTGAAAGCCAGAGACTGAGTGCCACCACGAGCTCGGCACTGTCCTTTCCTCTGCTTCTGCTGGACAAGGGTCCGCAACACACAGCCTGGGTGTAGGGAGGAGGAGGCACTCACCTGGGGACACTGCCCCTCTCATCCTGGGACCCCGCTGTCTCCTGCCACTGATCCCACTGTGTCCCCAGGGGAGCACCCTCTGTCCTTTGCAGCCTGCGTGGGCAGTGAGGAGATCGTGCGGCTGCTCATAGAGCACGGCGCTGACATCCGGGCCCAGGACTCACTGGGTAGGAACTGGATGGGGATGGATACTGGGATGTTGCAGGGGCTGTGCTGGGAGGAGGGGGACAGGCCATGCAAGATGGGAGTGGGGCCATCAGGGAAAGCAGGCCTTTGGCCACATGAGAGCCTGCTCTCCCCAGGAAACACCGTGCTGCACATCCTCATCCTGCAGCCCAACAAAACCTTCGCCTGCCAGATGTACAACCTGCTGCTGTCCTATGACAGAAGGGACCACCTGCAATGCCTAGAGCTTATGCCCAACCACCAGGGCCTGACCCCCTTCAAGCTGGCTGGAGTGGAGGGCAACACTGTGGTGAGGGGCTGCCCAGCCCTGACGCATCTCCCTAAGGATTCTCAGCCTACCCTGCTGGCCCTGGCAGGGAGTACACATGACCTTAGACCCCACTCTGAGATCAGCCTGGGATGTCTCTCTCAATCTCTCTGTTGCCTCACCCGATTCCCTTTCCTGTCCATTTGCTCTGGCCTGAGTGTTGGGGGCTTATACAGCCTACGTCACTGCTGGGATTGTCTGTAATGCCCAGGACCACCTGCCCTCGTCACAGTAGCATCCCTTTAACCCCATTCATCTCCCTTTCTGAGCTCTGCAGGGAGTCATGGGAGAGCAAGATGAACCTAGCTGTCAGAGTAAACATGAGTTCTGCCCTCCAAAGGCTGTGGTCATTAACTGATGGCCACCAGCCTCTCCAGTGCTATTGTTCCCTGAACATAGGCTCCTTCCATCCTCTGAGGGATGCTCTCTGCCTTTGACACCTGACCATCTATATCCACCTCCCTCAGTTGTTCCACCACCTGATGCAGAAGCGAAAGCGCATTCAGTGGACATACGGGCCTCTGACCTCCACCCTCTATGACCTCACAGAGATCGACTCTGCAGGGGATGAGCAATCCCTGCTGGAACTCATCGTCACCACCAAGAAGCGGGAAGTATGAGATCTTCACAGCAGAGCTTCTGGCCAAGGTGCCGGTGTCCAGGGGCTGCCTGACCTATTCTTTTTGCTGCAGGCTCGCCAGATCCTGGATCAGACCCCAGTGAAGGAGCTGGTGAGCCTCAAGTGGAAGAGGTATGGGCGGCCCTACTTCTGCATGCTGGGTGCAGTCTACTTGCTCTACATCATCTGCTTCACCGTGTGCTGTGTCTACCGCCCCCTCAAGCCCAGGACCACGAACCACACCAGCCCCCGGGACAACACACTCCTTCAGCAGAAGCTCCTTCAGGTAACACCCTACCAGTCGCAGATGGGCAGATCAGGACACTGCCTCGTGCCTTTTCTCAGTCTGGTCCCACTTTCCTGTCCTTATCCCGGACTTTCCCCGTCACTCAGCTCTCCCATGCATGGGCATGGTGCACGCACACAGGAACACACACATTACGTCTAGGAGCAGACTTTGAGACAGATGAGACCTAGTTAGTGGGACCTGGTAGGTTAGAAAGAATCTGACAAAACTATTGGCTCTAGGCACTGGGGCAGGAAGGGCGAGTGCATAGAAGCCCTGTGTGCTTTGACCACCCAATTCCCACGCAGGAGGCCTATGTGACTCCTGAGGATAACCTCCGGCTGGTGGGGGAGCTGGTGAGCGTGGTTGGGGCTATGATCATCCTGCTGGTAGAGGTAAGGTGAGGATGGGATTGGAGGGAGCCTGATGGCTCCAGGCAACCGATCTGAGCTCTGGTCAGGAGGTGTCTTTTTGTCTCCCTGACTCCTCTCCAGATTCCAGACATCTTCAGGTTGGGAGTCATTCACTTCTTTGGACACACCATCCTCGGGGGGCCATTCCATGTCATTATGTGAGTCGCCTTCCTCTCACTCACGACAGCCCATGAAATCCGAGGCCCCGAGAACCTAAATCCCATAGATCCTTTTCCAGGGATGCACATGACCCTGTGTACTGAGTGTGTGGTGGCTGAATCTCTGAATGTATGGGAACTGTCCCAGTTACACCCTGGCTGTCATGTCCTCAGGAGAACCCCAGTCTTCCTGTCATCACACCTTGTCCTGCTCCCCCTAGCGTCACCTATGCCTTCATGGTGCTGGTGACCATGGTGATGCGGCTCACCAATGCAGATGGAGAGGTAGTGCCTATGTCTTTTGCCCTGGTGCTGGGCTGGTGCAACGTCATGTATTTTGCCCGAGGATTCCAGATGCTGGGCCCCTTTACCATCATGATCCAGAAGGTCAGTGCCTCTCCCCATGCTTCCTAGAGAAAGGTCCCAGACCAAGTGTTGCCAAACCCTTCTTGAAAGAGCCTCAGAATGGATATTTCAGGCTTTATGAGCCATACATAATCTTTGTTGTATATTGGTTTTCTTTTCTTTTTCTAAAACAATCTTTTTAAATGTTAGAACTATTCTCAGGGCATGGGCTATGCCAAAATAGACCAGTAGATTTGGCCTGCAGGCCACACTTTGCTAACCCCTGACCTAGGACATGGAGCTGTTAAACTTATCAGGGTTATATCTGCTAGCTTTAGATGGGGCAATTGCTCAGGAAATATGAGATGTTCTCTCTGATTCCACTTCCCTCTAGATGATCTTTGGTGACCTTATGCGATTCTGCTGGCTGATGGCTGTGGTCATCCTGGGTTTTGCTTCAGGTAAATCACCTGTTCAGCATGGGGGCCATGGAGGGAGAGGTGGTAACAGAAGAATGCCTCTGGCTAAACTTGGAGAAGGAAGGGAAACAGAAGGCCAGGCAGAGATCAGAGGAGGTTGTGCAAGGTCTGAGGAAAGGATATTATGTTCCTCAGGGGTGAGGGAAAAACGGGAATCAGGGAGGTGGCGCTTGGGGTCCTATGACTCTAAGGGAACATAAGAACTCAAACTGTGAAGTGTGGAGCTCAGGTGGTGATGCTGGAGATGAGGGGAGTGGGCTAGAAGTAGGAAGCAGAGTGCTGGCTGTGGTAGTCATGATGCAGTTGCCATGGTAACCCTCACCCCCTTGGGTGGAGCAGCCTTCTATATCATCTTCCAGACAGAGGACCCTGATGAGCTGGGCCATTTCTACAATTACCCCATGGCACTGTTCAGCACCTTTGAGCTGTTCCTCACCATCATCGATGGCCCAGCCAACTATGATGTGGATCTGCCCTTCATGTACAGCATCACCTATGCTGCCTTTGCCATCATCGCCGCACTGCTCATGCTCAACCTCCTCATCGCCATGATGGGCGACACCCACTGGCGAGTGGCTCATGAACGGGATGAGCTCTGGAGGGCCCAGGTGAGCCCCTGGCAGCTGGGTTAGTGCGAGGCATCCCCTTCCTCTCCAGGAACTGGCCATGCTCAGAGAGCAGCAGGATAGTTTGACCCTACACGTGTTTGGTATTTATCGCACAATCTGGAACATAATGCCACGTGCGCAGAAGAACTGGGTAGCATTATCGCCAAGCGTTACTGGAATGTCTAGAAGGAATTCCTCGTGGGAATGAAAAACAAAAAAATGATTTGAGGATGTAGCTCAGTGTGAAGGCCCTGGGTTTAGTCACCAGCGCTACAAAATTTAAGTAAATAACTAATAAGATAAAACCTTAGGATTTTATAGAACAATGAACAAAAATAAAGCTAATGTTGGCTGAAACTGAATCAGTGTATTTTGTTCCAAAGGAGGCTGTGAAGTTGTCTTAGTAATATTTCAGTCTGCAAAATTTGACCCATAAAAATTGGAAGTGTTAAAAATAATGCCATAAAAACTTCCAATAGTAGCAGAAACTATCTTCAGTCAGATCATCGTGATGGGCATGAAAGACAATTAGATGAATCAAAGCCTTATTTTAAGATATGCTTAGGAAAAATTTATCTCAACAAAAGTAATTTCAGCAAAAGAAAAATGGAAATTCCAAACACTGAAAGGCATTTAATGATGCTGTATAGAAAACAGAATAAAACCTGAGCTGGATCAAAGGAATTTTTTCAGGGCAATATTTTCCTCATGAAATTATATTAGCAATAGGTTTCTACATAGGAGGTTTACACTTACAAATGGTTTTTATGTAGGGTCAGAATATTCTGAGATCTTTTAAGTCTCTTCCTATTTGCTCTGCTTTCCCCCTGTCACCTTGGAGCAAGGCCTCCTGCTCTTCCTGGGAGGGTCTCCTGCATCCCACCTGAACCCCAGGCCTATCCTGCCTCATCTTGTCACTGGCAGAGAACTGTGCGGCTGGAGTCTCATTGACTCTCTCCCCTGGAAAGTCTAAATCTGTTCACCCTACTGTTCCAGATCAGTGCTGCTCTCCACTGTCAGGAAGCCAAAAGCTCCTGAATTTCTTTGCTGTTGCTAAGCTGCTCTCCACCTGCCTGGGATGCCCCACCCTCTTCTCAGTCTGCACCCATCCTCCTGTCTAATGTCCCATTCTGTACCCACATGCAGGTGGTAGCCACCACCGTGATGCTGGAGCGGAAGTTGCCTCGCTGCCTGTGGCCTCGTTCTGGGATCTGTGGGCGCGAATATGGGCTAGGAGACCGCTGGTTCCTTCGGTAAGCAATGGTACTGGGCTGGGCAGTCCTTGCATGACCACCGTGGCATGGTGACCTTTTGCTTGGACAACTCCCTGAACCCCGGGATCCTATGGAAGTCTATGTTCTCCCTAGACCCCGTCCATTGACTGGGCTGCAGATGTTGAGGAAGGTGCCCCTTTAGGAGCTTGGACCCCTCAAAGTGTGCTCAGAGCTGTTTCCTGAGCCTGGTATTCCCCATGCCCACCCCAGCTGCATAGAAGGAGAAAAGCTTATAAAGATGGCATTGGGAGTTGACAGAACACAAGCATTGGTCTAGGCCTCTGCTCCACAATTCCTTCTCTCTCAAGTCTTCTTCTACTCCGCAGAGTGGAAGACAGGCAGGACCTCAACCGGCATCGAATCCGGCACTACGCGCAGGCCTTTCAGCCCCAGGACATAGCCTGCTGTGAGGACTGGGACAAAGACCTCGGGGAAAAATTGGACATGGGCCACTCGCTAGGCCCCTACTTGTCCTTCCCTTCACCCTCAGTGTCTCGTAGTACCTCCCGTAGCAGCACCAACTGGAAAAGACTTCGGCAAGGAACCCTCCGCAGGGATCTACGGGGCATGATCAACAGGGGCTTGGAAGATGGGGAGGGCTGGGAGTACCAGATCTGAAGGCTCACTAGCTCTTGTAGCATCAAGTCCAAACCAACACAGAAAAAAACAAGGAAAACCTAGGTCTCAACTCCCAGGTCCAGGAGGGAAAAGGGGAGTGGCATGAATGTCAAGGAATGCAAGCCAGAAATAACAGCTCCAGGTCTTCAAAACTCCCTCAGTTGGGGGAAAAGGAAACAGTCTGCAGTCCTCCCTGCATCGAGCATTCCTCACTCTTGTATGGACGTCCGCCTGCACATCAGAGCACTTTAAAGACAGGCTCACCTTCTCAAGCACCTGTCTCAACCCCCTGTCATAAGTGGGAAGGATTCTTTCCCAGGGTGCTCTAGACAAGGGCCAGGCTAGTGGAAGGGAGTGTGGGAGAGGGAGAGAGGTACCACCCCAGGGATGGGGAAGTTGGCCTGAGTCTTGTACCTTCCACTTTTCAATAAAGCCATTTCCTTGTCTTTGCCCTGCCCCTCTTCCGCATTTTTTCGTCTTCTGGCCACCCTGCCTAGAACTCTGACCCTCCTCCAGGGCCTCCCTATCCCCTCCTTGCAGACTGAGGCCTGGACACACTTGAACTTGCAAATTCCCTTCTTTCCCTTTAATGTGGGGGTGGCCAGTAGAGGGGTGGAGGACTGAGGAACACAGTTCCGATTTCGCGAGGGCCAGGTTGAGTGTGGCAGGCATGGAGGTGAGCATGGAGCCTGGCTCACTTCTCACACATCCCTCCTTGGCCCTGCATCCATCTGGGTCCTGGAGATTATCGATGCACAGTTTCTTGCCCAGGCCACATTCACACCTCCACTGAGTCCAACTGCCTTAGATGCTGCTGGAGGAGCTGGATGTTGTACAGCAGTTTCTTCTGGTGGCCAGCCAGGGTGATGCCGAGGGCAGGCAGGTCTCTGGTTGGGGGGCGGGGAGGGGAGTGGATCAGGTCCAAGAACACAAACTCGCCCGCTCACCTGGGGCCCAGAGCATCTGCCCACCCACATGCCTCCCCTTGCTTACTCCAGGCTGAGCTGAGCTACATCACTGAAGGTACAGAGGCTGAACTTCGAGAAGTTATCCTGGTAGCATTCCAGTCCAATGGCTGAAAGCCAGGCCTGAGGCGAGTCCAGACAAGGAAAGTCCAGGACCACAGGGTTCAGGAGGGCCTGGGAAGGTCTAGGGTGAGGAGGGGGAAGCAGGTCAAGGTCAGGTCAAGGTCTCCTCTTCATCTTAGCCCTCTCTCCTCAGCTTTCCTTGGGTTTGCATCTACCCTCCCTGACTCTCCCAAGCTCAAGCCCCAAGATCCAGACCTGTCCTGCATTCCCCCATCAGCCTGCAGGGAGTCGGGCTTGCGGATCATCTTGTCAAATGCAGCCACCAGCTGGTCAAAGTGAGGCCGCCGGGCACGGTCTTTCTGCCAGGTGTCCAGCATCAGCATATGTAGTCTGGGAGGACAGCCTGGAGGCGGGGGCAGCCGGAACTCCTGCTCTATTGCATTTAGGACCTGGGGATCGGGGGAAGTATAGGATGGTGGGAAGCAACGGCTGGTACCGGGGAGTGTTGGGAGAGGGGGTGGGCGGGAACCAGGTGCAGCATGGGGCAGAAGAGGGAAGACACTCAAAACTATGGACTATGCCAGCCACGAGTTTTAGGAGGGAAATCTTAGAACACATGCGCCTAGGAGGGATGGGGTGGAGAAAGCAGCCCCGGGATCAGGAGCTCACCTCCTGCTCACTCATGTCCCAGTAGGGGCGCTCTCCATAGCTCATCACTTCCCACATGAGGACCCCAAAGCTCCAGACGTCACTGGCTGGCGTGTGCTTTCCGTGTGCGACAACCTCGGGGGCTGACCAGCGGAGCAAAGAGCTTGAGCTCTGAGAGACGGAGCCAAAAGCAAATTAGGCCTCATCTTACCACGAGTCACGTTAACTGAGTCTGCTGTGCTCAGATATGCGTGACGGGGTCACCTCGGGCACCATTGGATGCTCTCACATGAAAGGATGCAGAAGCTGAGGCAGGTAGAATACGAGCTGGTCCCAAGGCCAGGCCCAGAGAGTCAAGACTGGTGCTGAGCTGTGCTGGTCCCGGAGCCTGTGCCTCCTCGGGGTTAGGGAACTGGCAGGAGCTGGTGCTAGAGCTCTGCAGGTCTTCTCCCTCCCTGCTCCCTTCTCTCTGCCTCGGCCTCTGAAATCCTTCAGTTGCCTCTCGCCCCAGCTTCTCTCCCCTCTCAAGCAGGTGAGCCTCCAGTCCCCAGGCACGGAGACTCCGACCCCAGGAACCCACCCCAGGTTCCAGCTCATGCTCCAGCACCTGCAGAGGGATGCTGAGTCCCCAAGCTCCACACTCACCTGAGGACTGCGGCCAAGACGGGCCACCTTGCACACCAGATGGCTGTTCACTAGCACACTTCGGGCAGAGAGTGCACGGTGCACAAAGGCACAGGTGGCCAAGTACTGCATGGCGTCCGCCACTCCCCGCTGCATGGCCACCAGCTGCAGGCTGCTGAACTGGCCCTCTCGCTGCTGAGGGGCAAGGGGCGGAGTTCAGCACCAGGAACGGGAACCTGGACATGCTGCCCAGCACACACTGGCATGAGAGGCAGGTGGGGGCAGATGGCGAATTTGGGAAGCAGAAAATGTCCTGGGAAGGAGGATGAAGCCCACCACGGGAGGTGGCCAAGGTAGAGGACTTTGTCACCTGGAGGAAGGGAGAACCCCAAGCTTTCCTGCCCCCAAGGACCCTCCCCCACCCAGGCTGGACTGACCCTGAGAAAGCTGTCCAGGGGCCCAAGCTCCATGAGCTCCGTCAGCACCATGAAGGGCCGGCTCCTGGTGACCACGCCCTCCAGCTGCAGGATGTTGGGGTGCTGGAACTGACCCAGCAGCGCAGCCCGGCCCAGGAAGGGCATCTGCAGGCTCTCAGCACCCCCAGCCCACAGGGCCTGGATGGCCACAGCCTGCTCGGGCTGTCCCTGGGGCTGCAGGCGGCCCCGACGAACTTCTCCAAAGGAGCCTGGGAGAAAGAATGCAGGTTGGGTGGTGTCAGGGGAGCCTGGGCCTAGAGGAGCCCTGGCCAAGGGAGCTGGAGACGGATCCTCAGGCCCTCCCAGGCCCTCCTTGTCCCTGCAGTACCTTCCCCAATGACCTCCTCAATCTTGATATATGCAGGGTCGACTTCTCGGGTGAGTTCTCGGACGGCCTGGCAGGGGTCCTCATACATAGCGGGGTCAATGTAATACTTTACCCCAAGTCCTGCAGGGTAAGGGGACTATGAGAGGGGTGCAATCCCAGGTGCCCACACGCCCCAGGCATGCCCCCTCACCTCCACAAGGCAGCCTCAAAGGCCCCCTCAACCTTGCCCTGCCCAAGTGCCCCAACCCCGTCCAGTTCCCCTTCGCTGCCCCCACCTGGGCTGCTGTACTGCTGTAGCTGTTCCATGTAGCCTGTCCCACGCTGCTTCCTAAGGGACAAACCAGCACCCTGGAAGGATGTCCTTATTTCTGCCCTTTGCTGCCTGCCCCGCCCATCCTGCTAGGCAGACTGCTCCCCAGCCAGGCTCGCGGAAAGGAGGGGACACCACTGAGCCACTCCTCCCCACCTGTGCATTGACAGGGTCTGGGCCATGGGAGAAGGATGTTTTCTAGGACAGGAATGGTGCCAGGGTATTGGGCAAGAACGCCGGGGGCCTCACCGTCGGAAGATGACGGCAAGCACAGTGATAGCCGCCAGCAGGAGGAAGGCCAAGGCCCCCAGGATGGAGCCAATCACCAAAGACAACTTTTCTGGGAGTGGGGAGGACAGCTCACCTGAGGGACAGCACCTGGGTCACAGGGGCCAGGCCTCTCACCCATGAGCGCACACGCACGCCATTGTGCACAGCACCGACATGGCGGCACGCACACAAAGCAAGGTACATGGACATGCAGCACAGACACGAGGACATGCCTACCTCCAACCCCATACACACAGCTACACACACACAGGCACACACCTGAGCTCTACACCACAACCACACACAGGCACACAGGCTGGTACTCTCCCCAAACTCTATGCCACTCTCACACACGCACATATGCACCTGCATACTCAGTCCTTCACTTGTACCCACAACCTGTACAGTCCACATGGACGCCCAGCGCATATTCACGAATAACACACATATCTACACTCACAATTCTCCCACCCTCTCCCCAGAAATCCCCTAAGCTTGAAGATGGGCCCCTAAGGCCAGGGGTCAGCCATAGCACTTGTCCCATACCCTCCTGCCCCAGAGCCTCTGGAGCACACTGGCCAGTCCTGGCCAGTCCTCACCATCCCTCCAGCCGCCCCTGCCTGCCTAGCCCTCCTCTCACCTTGTGGCAGCGTCTGGAAATAGACCTTGCCGCCATAGGGGCCATGGCCAGCAGTGGTCCGTGCTCGCACCTGGAAGCCATAGATGTGGCCAGGGCTCAGCCGTGTCACAGTGGCAGTGTTGGTCTCGCTGGTCAGGGTGAAGGAGTGGGATTCGTCTTCTGCCTGGGGGGCACAGCCACTCACTCTGTCTGGCTGGCTAGGCCTCTGTTGCCCCTTACCCTCAAGGCTCCCCCTCCACCGCTTTCAGTGTTCGGGGCTCTCAAACCCATTCCTGTGCTCCAGGGCCTTGGCATCTCTCTGTGCGTCCCTCAGACACCAGCCCCTGTTGCTCCCTCCAGCCCTGCTGCAGCACCCCTCCCCTTCTTTCTGCCCACCTGATCATAGTATCGGAGTTGATAGTCAAGAATGTTCCCGTTGGCCTGGTCGGGCTGTGGCCAGGACACGGTGATGCTGTTGGCTGCCCGGCTCACTTGGTGTACCACAGGGACTGCAGAGGGGACTGAATTGTAGGGTTGGGGGGGGTATGGAGCTCAGACTATGGATTTGAATGAAGCCCAGATGGGGGGCAGATGTGGAGAAAGGGGGTACTGGGGAGCTGAGGCAAGGTGTCCTCAATGTCGAGGAAAAGGGCTCACCTTCATGGCTGATGCTGACATTGATGGCTGCAGCCTGGGGAGGGTCAGGGCTGAGCTCAGACACACCATTGACAGCCTGCACCTCCAAGATGTAGGGCACGTGTGCTCGGAGCCCCCCAACTAACACTCGACTCTCAGTCAGGCCCCTTTGGCGGGGGTCAAAATGCACCTCATCCCTGCATCGGCGACATATGCTGCCACTGCTAGGCGCCTGAGGGCCTCCACACTCCTTGCACACAACGTTGAAGAGAAGGTCTCCTCGTCCCCCAAGCTCCTGTGGCAGGCGCCAGTGCAGCATGAGCACAGAGCCTTGCACCTCAAACCAAAGCTCCCTGGGAGCCGAGGGAGGTCCTGGGGGGAAGAGGGTGTGGCAAGGGCAAAGCCAAGAAGGCAGGAGTGGTGGGAGGAGGTGATCGAGGAAAGAAGCTCAGGAGGGTAGATGGCCCAGAGGGAGGAGACAGAAGAGCAGGAAGGAGAGGCAGAAAGCAGAGGAGGCAAGAGGGAAAAGGGAGGTAGAGGGAGGGCAGGGAAGAAAGGAAACCAAGGAAACAGGAGA